ATACCCAAATATGAACACAGATGGGAGTTTGGGGGAAATAGACCATAACATTTGGGAGTTGTAGTTCACCTACAATCAAAGAGCATTCTAAACCCCACCAATGATAGAATTGGGCCAAACTCACCACACAGAGACCCCCATGACCAACAGATAATACTGTGCTTTCTGGTGGTCTTTGGCAACCCTTCTGACACCCCCTAGCGACACCCCCAGGGGCCTGATCCCCAGGTTGAGAAATGCAGCCTTAAGGCCTTCCAGTCCAACTCCCTTCACCAGGGCAAGAAAACATAATCAAAGCCCTCCTCATAAAAAGCCATCCAGCCATAGATATAGGTAGATAGATATGATTCATGCGCGCGCGTACACACACATATATATGTATATGACAGATATAGTATCATAGATTTGAAAGGAACACCTAAAGGAGGACAATTATATGCTGCATGTTCCAGAGTAGGCAAACCAGACAATCTCTACACCAACACTGACAAAGAAAAAAAAAGAAATACTGTTTACCCACAAGCAGAAAGACATTACATATATTAGAAACCAACAGTTTTTCATTGCCTTATTTTCCAAATCACAAGACTGGGCCACAGCAAAAGCATGGCAGGGGACAGCTAGTATTATATAATATAATATATAAGAATACAGCATATAAGAAAAATATAACTATAGTATAACAATTATATAAGACTATATATTACATAAGAATATAACATAATAATATAGAATAGCATCAGACTAAACAAATATAAAATAAAATATTAATATCTGTAATAATATTATAAGAAAGTAAGGAGAGTATAAGAATAACATATAATAATAATATGAAAATATACTACTATTATTGTTCATTCGTTCAGTCGTTTCCGACTCTTCGTGACCTCATGGACTAGCCCACGCCAGAGCTCCCTGTCCGCTGTCACCACCCCCAGCTCCTTCAAGGTCAATCCAGTCACTTCAAGGATCCTGTCCATCCATCTTTCTCTTGATCGGCCCCTCTTCCTTTTTCCTTCCATTTTCCCCAGCATCATTGTCTTCTCTAAGCTTTCCTTTCTTCTCATGATGTGACCAAAGTACTTCATCTTTGCCTCTACTATCCTTCCCTCCAATGAGCAGTTGGGCTTTATTGGGGAAAAATGGAAGGAAAAACGAAGAGGGGCCGATCAAGAGCAAGATGGATGGACGGGATCCTTGAAGTGACTGGATTGACCTTGAAGGAGCTGGGGGTGGTGACAGCGGACAGGAAGCTCTGGCGTGGGCTAGTCCATGAGGTCACGAAGAGTCGGAAACGACTGAACGAATGAACAATAATAGTAGTATATTTTCATATTATTATTATATGTTATTCTTATACTCTCCTTACTCTCCGCAGGGTTCCGTCCTGGGCCCGGTCCTGTTCAACATCTTTATTAATGACTTAGATGAAGGGCTAGAAGGCATGATCATCAAGTTTGCAGACGACACCAAATTGGGAGGGATAGCCAATACTCCAGAGGACAGGAGCAGAATTCAAAACGATCTTGACAGATTAGAGAGATGGGCCAAAACTAACAAAATGAAGTTCAACAGTGACAAATGCAAGATACTCCACTTTGGCAGAAAAAATGAAATGCAAAGATACAGAATGGGTGACGCCTGGCTCGAGAGCAGTACGTGTGAAAAAGATCTTGGAGTCCTCGTGGACAACAAGTTAAACATGAGCCAACAATGTGATGTGGCGGCAAAAAAAGCCAATGGGATTTTGGCCTGCATCAATAGGAGCATACTGTCTAGATCTAAGAAGTAATGCTACCCCTCTATTCTGCTTTGGTTAGACCACATCTGGAATATTGTGTCCAATTCTGGGCACCACAATTCAAGAGAGATATTGACAAGCTGGAATGTGTCCAGAGGAGGGCGACTAAAATGATCAAGGGTCTGGAGAACAAGCCCTATGAGGAGCGGCTTAGGGAACTGGGCAGGTTTAGCCTGAAGAAGAGAAGGCTGAGAGGAGATATGATAGCCATGTATAAATATGTGAGAGGAAGCCACAGGGAGGAGGGAGCAAGCTTGTTTTCTGCTTCCTTGGAGACTAGGACGCGGAACAATGGCTTCAAACTACAAGAGAGGAGATTCCATCTGAACATGAGAAGAACTTCCTGACTGTGAGAGCCGTTCAGCAGTGGAACTCTCTGCCCCGGAGTGTGGTGGAGGCTCCTTCTTTGGAAGCTTTTAAACAGAGGCTGGATGGCCATCTGTCAGGGGTGATTTGAATGCAATATTCCTGCTTCTTGGTGGGGGGTTGGACTGGATGGCCCATGAGGTCTCTTCCAACTCTTTGATTCTATGATTCTATATGTTTTTCAAGGCATGTTTACAGGCGTAAGGCACTCTCAGAACTTTCTTCCAGCACCACAGTTCAAAGCATCTATCTTCCTTTGCTCAGCCTTCCCTATGGTCCAGCTCTCACATCCGTAGGTTACTATGGGGAATACCATTGCTTTAACTATGCGGATCTTTGTTGCCAGTGTGATGTCTCTACTCTTCACTATTTTATTGAGATTGGACATTGCTCTCCTCCCAAGAAGTAAGTGTCTCCTGATTTCCTGGCTGCAGTCTGCGTCTGCAGTAATCTTTGCACCTAGAAATACAAAGTCTGTCACTGCCTCCATGTTTTCTCCCTCTATTTCCCAGTTGCTAATCATTCTTGTTGCCATAATCTTGGTTTTTTATATGTTTAGCTGCAACCCAGCTTTTGCGCTTTCTTCTTTCACCTTGATTAGAAGGCTCCTCAGCTCCTCCTCGCTTTTGGCCATCAAAGTGGTGTAATCTGCATATCTAAGGTTGTTAATGTTTCTTCCAGGAATATTTACCCCAGCCTTGCATTTGTCAAGCCCCGCACATCGCATGATGTGTTCTGCATACAAGTTGAATAGGTTGGGGGAGAGTATACAACCCTGCCGCACGCCTTTCCCAATCTTGAACCAGTCTGTTGTTCCATGGTCAGTTCTGACTGTTGCTACTTGGTCCTTGTACAGATTCCTCAGGAGAGAGACAAGGTGGCTTGGGATGCCCAGACCACCAAGAACTTGCCACAATTTATTATGATCCACACAGTCAAAGGCTTTAGAATATGAAACAGAAATAGATGTTTTTCTGAAACTCCCTGCCTTTCTCCATTATCTAGCGGACATTGGCAATTTGGTCTCTCGTTCCTCTGCCTTTTCTACACCCAGCTTGTCCATCTGGCAACTCTTGCTCCATGTATTGCTGGTGTCTTCCTTGCAGGATCTTGAGCATTATCTTACTGGCGTGAGAAATAAGGGCCACTGTATGAAACTCTTTAGCATTTCCCTACATAGGGACCCCCAAACGCAGCAGCATTGCCCAAACACGAATCAAGGAACATGAAAGGCACTGCAGACTACTTCAACCAGAGAAGTCAGCCATAGCAGAGCACCTGATGAACCAACCTGGACACAGCATATTATTTGAGACCACAGAAATGCTGGACCACTCTCACAACCGCCATGTCAGGCTACACAGAGAAGCCATTGAAATCCACAAGCATGTGGACAAATTCAACAGAAAGGAGGAAACCATGAAAATGAACACAATCTGGCTACCAGTATTAAAAAAAACCTCTAAAATTGCAACAGCACAACAACAGAGAGGAAGCAGGCAGGGACATCTAATTACCTCTCAACAAAAGTTTGCTCCAGGCACAGTCAGGCCATTATATACTAATCGAGGTGGTCAGTTGAAACATTCACACCTAGCTCCAGCAGACAAGAGTCCTTTGCCCCACCCTGGTCATTCCACAGATTTATAAACCCCTTTTTCCTAGTTCCAACAGACCTCACTACCTCTGAGGATGCTTGCCATAGATGCAGGCGAAACGTCAGGAGAGAATGCCTCTAGAACATGGCCATGTAGCCCGAAAAAAACCTACAACAGCCCAGTGATTCTGGCCACGAAAGCCTTCGACAATACATTAATTTGGTTTCTCATTCCTCTACTTTTTCTAAACTACTATTATAAGAATAAAATCGTATAAATCTAACAACATGTAACATAGCAAAAGCACTATAATACATTGTATATTAATATAACAATAACAACATATGGTTTTTGTAGGTTTTTTCGGGCTATAGGGCCATGTTCTAGAGGCATTTCTCCTGACGTTTCACCTGCATCTATGGCAAGCATCCTCAGAGGTAGTGAGGTCTGTTGGAAATAGGAAAATGGGTTTATATAACTGTGGAATGACTGGGGTGGGGCAAAGAGCTCTATGCTGAAGCTAGGTGTGAATGTTTCAGCTGACCACCTTCATTAGCATTTGAAGGCCTGGCTGATGAAGGTGGTCAGTTGAAACATTCACACCTAGCTCCAGCAGAGAAGAGCTCTTTGCCCCATCCCAGCCATTCCACAGATATATAAACCCACTCTCCTATTTCCAACAGACCTCACTACCTCTGAGGATGCTTGCCATAGATGCAGGTGAAACGTCAGGAGAAATGCCTCTAGAACATGGCCATATAGCCCGAAAAAACCCACAAGAACCTAGTGATTCCAGCCATGAAAGCCTTCGACAATACAAATAACAACATAATAATCCAATGATATAATTTTCAAATAGAACATATAAGATGAATATACCGTAACTATAAAAATTCTGTAAGAAGAATAGAATAGACTAGAATAACAGTAATATCACCGAATGGCAAGGTCTTCTCTCTGAAGGGGCTTCCTCCCTCCCTCCTTCCTCCCCCTCCTCCTCCTCCCTTGAGGGAGGGGCCACTTCCGGCAGAACCCAAGACCGCGCCTCGCTGGGAGCCTTTCTCCTGCTTCTCATTCTTCTCCTCTTGCTTCTCCATCCTTACCTGCTTCGGCCGCCGAGGAGGCCTGCCTCCCTCTCGCGCCGCGACTATCCTCCCGCCCCTCTCGGTGACCCGCCGCCTCCACTTCCGCCTCCGCTCTGCCCCGCCACTCGGTGGTTCTACATCCGGGGACTGACTCCCTCCGCCTTGTCCCAAGCTTAGGAGGAAAGAGATACCCGGATGGGGACGCTCTAGGCCTCCGTGGTGTTTATACACGCGCCGGGAGTCCCGCTCTCCATTCGAAGCCCAAGGCATTCCAGAGGCGAGGGGTGGTTGGGTCTCAGCCTCTCCGCCTCGCCTGGCCCCGCCCCATTTCCCGGTCGCAGTTGGTTCGGCCCGCCATTCAGGAGACCCAGGTGGGTTGAACCATTATTATATACATAGGGGGGAATCCTGCATAGGCCTGCCTGCCTGTCTCCCTTCTGTAATATGATACAGTCATAATGTAATTGTAATATAATATGAATATAAGAACAATAATGTAATAATATAATACTGATGTGATTGTAAGATAATGATAATATAATAATAATGATAATCTATATAAATAAAAATGTAGTGTTTGTTTGTGGTATTCGCAGAACTCAAAAACCACTGGACGAATTGACACCAAACTTGGACACAATACATCTATCAGACCAATGAGTGTCCATCACCCCTAAAAACACACAAAAAAACTATTAGAACAGACTTAAATCCCACCCCCCAATAAACTATATATACATATACACTTGCACACATACATACACACACACACATATGTACACAAGCACACACAAATATATACATGCACACATACACATATATTTACATATACACATGCATGCATACATAAACATATATACACAAGCGCACACATATACACAATATACATATGCACACACACATATACATCTATCTATTTGTGTATATGTGTATATATGTGTGTTTGCATATATAGATAGATAGATAGAGATATATACACACATTCACACACACACACACACCGTATATACAGACTGGGCCACAGCAACGCATGGCAGGGTACAGCTAGTCTATATAAATAAAAATGTAATGTTTGTTTGTGGGATTCACAGAACTAAAAAACCACTGGACGAATTGACACCAAATTTGGACACAATACACCTATCAGGCCAATGAGTGTCTATCACCCCTAAAAACACACAAAAAACCCAGCAGAATGGACTTAACCCCCCCCCCCATAAACTATATATACATATACACTTGCACACACACACACATACATACATACACATGGACACAAGCACACACAAATATACACATACATATAGACATGCACACATACACATATATTTACATATACACATGCATACATACACATATATACACAAGCACACACATATACACAATATACATATGCACATATACACCTATCTATCTATTTGTGTATATGTGTATATATGTGTGTTTGCATATATAGATAGAGATATATACACACATACACACACACAAACCATATATACAGACTTGGCCACAGCAACACATGGCAGGGTACGGCTAGTCTATATAAATAAAAATGTAATGTTCGTTTGTGGTATTCACAGAACTAAAAAACCACTGGACGAATTGACACCAAATTTGGACACAATACACCTATCAGGCCAATGAGTGTCCATCACCCCTAAAAACACACACAAAACCCAGCAGAACGGACTTAAACCCCCCCAAATAAACTATATGTACATATACATATGCACACATACATACATGCACACATACACATATATTTACATATACACATGCATACATACACATATACACAAGCACACACATATACACAATATACATATGCACATATGCACACACACACATATGCATCTATCTATCTGTGTATATGTGTATATATGTGTGTTTGCATATATAGATAGATAGATAGAGATATACACACACATTCATACACACACAAACCATATATACAGACGGCCACAGCAACGCATGGCAGGGTACAGCTACTCTATATAAATAAAAATGTAATGTTCATTTGTGGGGTTAATATAACTCAAAAATCACTGGACGAATTGCTGCCAAACTTGGCCACAAGACACCTACTAACCCAAGGAGCGACCATCACTCAAAAAATTGAATTTGGCATTTGGGAGTTGTAGTTGCTGGGATTTATAGTACACCTACAATCAATGAGCATTCTGAACTCCACCAATGATGGAATTGAACCAAATGTGGTACACAGGACTCCCATGCCCAATAGAAAACACTGGAAGGGTTTGGTGGGCATTGACCTTCAGTTTGGGAGTTGTCGTTCACCTACATCCAGAGAGCACTGTGGACTCAAACAATGATGAATCCTGGACCAAACTTGGCACAAATATTCCATATGCCCAAATATCAACACAGATGGAATTTGGGGGGAATAGACCTTGACATTTGGGAGTTGTAGTTACTGGGATTTATAGTTCACCTACAATCAAAGAGCATTCTGAACCCCACGAACGACAGAATTGGGCCAAATTTCCCACACAGAACTCCCATGACCAACAGAAAATACTCAAGGCCATCCAGTCCAAGTCCCTTCACCAGAGCAAGAAAACATAATCAAAGCCCTCCTGACAAACAACCATAGATATAGATAGATATGATTCACACACGCACAGATATAGTATCATAGATTTGAAAGGGACCCCTGGAGAAGGACAATGATATGTTGCATGTTCCAGAGTAGGCAAACCAGACAATCTCCACATCAACACTGACAAAAAACAACAAGAAATACTGTTTACCCACAAGCATAAAGAAATTACATATATCAGAAATCAACACCTTCTCGTTACTTTATTTTCCAGATCACCAGACTGGGCCACAGCAACATGTGGCAGTGGACGGCTAGTCTATATAAATAAAAATGTAATGTTCGTTTGTGGGATTAACAGAACTCAAAAACCACTGGACGAACTGACACCAAATTTGGACACAATACGCCTATCAGGCCAACAAGCCAATAAACAAAACATGCATTACAATGCATGCGCAAAAAACATATAAACACAAACACACATATATACACATATACACAAATATGTACACACACATATATGCATATATATACACACAAAACACAAAAACACAGACTGGGCCACAGCAATGCATGGCAGGGGACAGCTAGCAATCTATATAAATAAAAATGTCATGTTCGTTTGTGGGATTAACAGAACTCAAAAATCACTGGACAAATTGCAGCCAAATTTGGCCACGAGACACCTCCTAACCCAAGGAGTGACCATCACTCAAAAAAAATCGATTTTGTCATTTGGGAGTTGTAGTTGCTGGGATTTGTAGTTCACCAACATTTAAAGAGCATTCTAAACTCAACCAATGATGGAATTGACCCAAACGTGGCACACAGAACTCCCATTAACAACAGAAAACACTAGAAGGGTTTGGTGGGCACTGACCTTGAGTTTGGGACTTGTAGTTCATCTACATCCAAAGATCACTGTGGACTCAAACTTAAAGAGACTTAAAAAGCCAAAAAACAAAAATTACATTACAACGCATGCGCAAAACCACATATATAAACGCAAACACATACACACAAATATATACACACAAATATACACACACAAATATACACATACAAAACACATATAGACAGATGGCCACAGCAACATGTGGCAGGGGACGGCTAGTAAATAAGGGGGATTCAGGGCATTTTCCAAGTAACATCACCGAAACATACAAAATAAACAGCATAACATAAAATTAACAAAACAACATAAGCATAAAATTATCAGAATAACACATGTATATTAAAAGTAATCCTGCCTATTCAGAGCAATTAAAAGCCGGGACAAGGCTAGTGCAAACTCAAAATATGAGGGGGCCAGGAATTAAGATCAGTGCTATAACTCTGGACTAGAACTGGTCATTCTCAAAGGCTTGTTGAAACCACCAGGTCTTCAAGCTCTTACAAAAGGAGGGGAGGGATGGGGCCTGTCTTATTTCCCTTGGAAGGGCGTTCTAGAGGCGGGGGGCCACCACCCAGAAGGCCCTCTCTCTTGTCCCCCCCAACCCTTCCAATATTTTCGGTTGGTCATGGGAGTTCTGTGTGCCAATTTTGGTTCCATTCATCATTGGTGGAGTTCGGAATGCTCTTTGAATGTAGGTGAACTATAAATCCCAGCAACTACAACTCCCAAATGACAAAATCACCCCACCCCACCAGTATTCAAATTTGGCGTATCAGGTATTTTGGGTGCTTCAGAATACCTCCCTGCTTTTAAACGGTACCTATTTATCAACTCACATTTCCTTTCGAACCACTAGGTAAGCGGAAGCTGAGCTAAAGGCCGGGAGCTCACCCAGACCTGGGCTTCAAACTGACAGCCTTTTGACTGACAAGATTTACTGCAGCTGATGGTTTAACCTGCTGTGCTCAAGCCCAGCATTTTAATAACATTGATAATAAAACTGTAATATAATTTTTGTGTATGTGTTAAGAGCGACTTGAGTAACTGCAAGTCATTTCTGGTGTGAGAAAATTGGCCATCTGCAAAAACATTGCCTACGGGATGCCCAGATGTTATACTATCCTGTGGGAGGCTTCACTCATGTCCCTTCATGGGAAGCTGGAGCTGACACTGCTCTGCAGATTCAAACCACCGATCTTGGTCAGCAGTCCTGCTTACAAAAGGACAAAACCCATTGCACCATTGGGTACTCCACTGATCATATAATATAGTAATAAAATAATAGTAATATAATAATGATAATATCATTATAATATAATAATTAATGGGGAGATTCTCAGTCCTCGTCTAATGCAATTCTATGGTGAAATACATTTTCTTAAAGGAATATTTCTATTTTTTGAAGGATTTGAAACCTCAAGATGAAAACTAACAAAGTCTACAAACTCGTCATCCATAAGAAAGGCTTCGGCAGCAGCGGTTAGTTCATGGGAAACTAAATATTGTGCATATATATATTAAATTATTACTGAAGTATAGTATTATAAGTAATATTAAATTATATTATTTTAAAATTATATTATAATAATCAAATATATTATAAAAGTATTAAAGTATATTATTGTTTTGAAATTATATTAAATTGTTATGAAAGTATTGTTACTGTTATTAAAATATATCATAATTATTCAAATATATTACTCATAAATATTAATAAAATATTAAATTATATTAATATTTTAAAGTTATATTATTATTAATATGTTATGAAATTCTTGTTACTGTTATTAAAATACATATTATAGTAATTATTCAAATATATGGTTATTAAATGGAGTTATTGTTGTTAAAATATATTATTGCATATATAAATATAAATAATAAAATATATTAAATTATTATTAAAAAGATATTGTTGTTCTTATTAAATTATGGTTACCATTATTAAAATATATTATGAAATATACTAAAACATATTATTCTTAAATTATTAATAGTAATAATAATTATTATTATTTATTGCTTTGCAGATGATGAGCTGGTGGTCAATCCCAAAGTATTTCTTCATATTAAACTGGGAGATATTGTGGAAATCGCTCACCCCAATGATGAATACAGGTCAAATATTAATATACTAATTATTAATATTATTATTTTCAATTTTCATATATGTATATTCTAATGCATTTGTCCTGTTTTTATGAGCATAGTATTATTTATATATCTGTATTAGGAGGAAATTGGGATAAAACTAAAGAAAATATAATTATTATAGTAAAGACTTTCTGTATATATTTCAGATTTCAATATTAATGTCAAAAATACATAGTATGATTTTCCATAGGATTTGTGCTACATTAGAACAGTAAAGACAAATATCACTTAAGTAAAATAAACATTCTCCAGCAAAGGATCACCGCCTTGTCGGGGCGCTGGAGCTTGAGCACCTCAATGATGTCATGAGCGAAACCGTGAAGGGCCACCCAAGACGGGACGGTTGTGGCAGAGAGGTCAGACCAAGCGTGATCCCTGGGGAAGGCAATGGCAAACCACTCCAGTATCCTTGCCAAGAAAACTAAATGGACCAGTACAACCAGAGATATGTCGGTATGCCATTGGAAGATGGGACCCCCAGGTCGGAAGATGGCCAAAATGCTACTGGGGAGGAGCAGAGGATAAGTTCAACTAGCCCCAGATGTGATGACGCAGCTATCTCAAAGCCGAAAGGAAGGCTAGCGGCCGACGGTACTGGAGGTGAACGACGAATCCGATGCTCTAAAGATCAACACACCATAGGAACCTGGAATGTAAGATCTATGAGCCAGGGCAAATTGGATGTTGTTATTGGTGAGATGTCAAGACTAAAGATAGACATTCTGGGGGTCAGCGAACTGAAATGGACTGGAATGGGCCACTTTACATCAGATGACCACCAGATCTACTACTGCGGACAAGAGGAACATCGAAGAAATGGAGTAGCCTTCATAATTAATAAGAAATTCGCTAAAGCGGTGCTTGGATACAACCCAAAAAATGACAGAATGATCTCAATTCGAGTGCAAGGAAAGCCTTTCAACATTACAGTGATCCAAATATACGCCCCAACCACAGCTGCGGAAGAAGCAGAAGTAGATCAGTTCTATGAGGATCTGCAGGACCTACTGGATAATACACCAAAAAGAGACATTATTTTCATTACAGGAGACTGGAATGCCAAGGTGGGAAGTCAAATGACAAAAGGGATCACAGGCAAGCATGGTCTGGGAGAACAAAATGAAGCGGGACGCAGGCTGATAGAATTTTGCCAGGAAAACTCGCTGTGTATAACGAATACTCTCTTCCAACAACCTAAAAGACGGCTTTACACATGGACCTCTACAGACGGTCAACACCGAAATCAGATTGACTACATCCTTTGCAGCCAAAGGTGGCGGACATCCATCCAGTCGGTGAAAACAAGACCTGGGGCTGACTGTAGCTCAGATCACGAACTTCTTATGCCCAATTTAGAATAAAACTAAAGAGATCAGGGAAAATACACAGACCAGTTAGATATGATCTCACTAACATTCCTAGCGAATATACAGTGGAAGTGAAGAACAGATTTGAAGGACTAGATTTAGTAAACAGAGTCCCAGAAGAACTATGGACAGAAGTCCGAGACATTGTTCAGGAGGCGGCAACAAAGTACGTCCCAAAGAAAAAGAAAACCAAGAAGGCAAAATGGTTGTCTGCTGAGACACTGGAAGTAGCCCAAGAAAGGAGGAAAGCAAAAGGAAACAGGGATAAGGGGAGATATGCCCAGTTAAATGCGCAATTCCAGAGGTTAGCCAGAAGAGATAAGGAACTATTTTTAAATAAGCAATGCAGGGAAGTGGAAGAAGACAACAGAATAGGAAGGACAAGAGACCTCTTCCAGAAAATTAGAAACATTGGAGGTAAATTTCAGGCAAAAATTGGTATGATAAGAAACAAAGATGGCAGGGACCTAACAGAAGCTGAGGAGATCAAGAGAAGGTGGCGAGACTATACAGAAGATCTGTATAGGAAGGATAATAATATTGAGGATAGTTTTGACGGTGTGGTGAATGAATTAGAACCAGACATCCTGAGGAGTGAGGTTGAATGGGCCTTAAGAAGCATTGCTAACAACAAGGCAGCAGGAGACGACGGGATCCCAGCTGAACTGTTTAAAATCTTAAAAGATGATGCTGTCAAGGTGATGCATGCCATATGCCAGCAAATATGGAAAACACAAGAATGGCCATCAGACTGGAAAAAATCAACTTATATCCCCATACCAAAAAAGGGAAATGCGAAAGACTGCTCAAACTTCCGTACAGTGGCCCTTATTTCTCATGCTAGTAAGGTAATGCTCAAGATCCTGCAAGGAAGACTCCAGCAATACATGGAGCGAGAGTTACCAGATGTTCAAGCTGGGTTTAGAAAAGGTAGAGGAACGAGAGACCAAATTGCCAATATCCGCTGGATAATGGAGAAAGGCAGGGAGTTTCAGAAAAACATCTACTTCTGCTTCATTGACTATTCTAAAGCCTTTGACTGTGTGGATCATAATAAATTGTGGCAAGTTCTTAGTAGGATGGGCATACCAAGCCACCTTGTCTCTCTCCTGAGGAATCTGTACAAGGACCAAGTAGCAACAGTCAGAACTGACCATGGAACAACAGACTGGTTCAAGATTGGGAAAGGCGTACGGCAAGGCTGCATACTCTCACCCAACCTATTCAACTTGTATGCAGAACACATCATGCGATGTGCGGGGCTTGATGAATGCAAGCTGGGGTGAAAATTGCTGGAAGAAACATTCACAACCTCAGATATGCAGATGACACCACTCTGATGGCCGAAAGCGAGGAGGAGCTGAGGAGCCTTCTAATCAAGGTGAAAGAAGAAAGCGCAAAAGCCGGGTTGCAGCTAAACATCAAAAAAAACCAAGATTATGGCAACAAGAATGATTGACAACTGGGAAATAGAGGGAGAAACCGTGGAGGCAGTGACAGACTTTGTATTTCTAGGTGCAAAGATGAGTGCAGAGGCAGACTGCAGCCAGGAAATCTGGAGACGCTTACTTCTTGGGAGGAGAGCAATGTCCAATGTCGATAAAATAGTAAGAGTAGAGACATCACACTGGCAACAAAGATCCGCCTAGTCAAAGCAATGGTATTCCCTGTAGTAACCTACGGATGTGAGAGCTGGACCTTAGGGAAGGCTGAGCGAAGGAAGATCGATGCTTTTGAGCTGTGGTGTTGGAGGAAAGTTCTGAGAGTGCCTTGGACTGCGAGAAGATCCAACCAGCCCATCCTCCAGGAAATAAAGCCCGACTGCTCACTGGAGGGAAAGATACTAGAGACAAAGTTGAAGTACTTTGGCCACATCATGAGGAGACAGGAAAGCCGAGAGAAGACAATTATGCTGGGGAAAGTGGAAGGCAAAAGGAAGAGGGGCCGACCAAGGGCAAGATGGATGGATGGCATCCTTGAAGTGACTGGACTGACCTTGAGGGAGCTGGGGGTGGTAACGGCCGACAGGGAGCTCTGGCGTGGGCTGGTCCATGAGGTCACGAAGAGTCGGAGACGACTGAACGAATGAACAACAACAAAATAAACATTAAATATTAAATAACCAGAAAAAATAAAATAAGGTGTAAACACTAAACTAATCTTCTATATTATATAATATATTATAATAATATATAATGGCAATAATATTAATGTAATACTAATAATATAACACAATAATATAACAATATATAATAGGAATATAAAATAGTGACATAAATAATATGTATTCTTTATTATGTAAGTAATAATATATAATATAGGTAATTTGAATTTTTTAAAATTTTAATAGTTGTTTGATTATTTTTCTCATGTTAAATATTTATATTCTTGTACGGATTTTAAAAGGAAATAATACATTAAAAACAATTTATTTTCATGTAGATAAAATAATTATGAAATATAATATAAGCTAGGCAACAAAATATTACAACTAATGGAATACTACTAATAATAATGATACATAATATTAATATAATATATAATCTGATAATAAAATGAAAAATAGTAGTAATGCATTATAATAAAGTATCAAATAATAATACTACAAACGAATAATATAATAATCTATAATAATACAAATACTACAAACAAATAATATAATATACTAATACTAGTAATACTGCAAACAAAAGGATGATATAATACTCTAAAATAAAACTAGTAATATTACTACAAATAATAATATAATAATATGAATAATGCTACAAACAAATTACACAATAATCTACAAATGAATAATATAATACTAATAATACTGCAAATAAATAATATGATATATCGTATATACTCGAAGATATGCTGAGTTTTTCAGACCTTTTTATGGTCTGAAAAAGCCTCCCTTGGCTTATAATGGGGTCAAGCTGGGCAGCGGACCCTGGAGGCCAATGCTTGGAATATATTTTATATTTCTCTCTCATCTTCCCCTCCCTAAACAGTGTGTTTTCTTTTCTGATCCTTCTCTGCTTCTCCTCCCAAGCTGGAATATTTTGAAAAGGGAAAAGAGGGGGATAGAAGCCCTTGCAAGTCAGGAATATCCATTAATCTTATAAAAACATTTTCCCCTGAAATATTTGTTAATCACGTCTACAGATATATAGGCATTTCCCCCTGCAAGCCTTTGCAGTCCCTATGTACCTATATATCTATCTATGTATATACATTAATTTTATATATGAATTTCCCCTCATGTTTGCAGGTCTTTCCAAATCCTATATAGATATATATAGGTATAGATATCTAGATATTTTTATGTACCTGTATATCTGTATCTATATGTATGCATTATTTTTATATGTGAATTTTCCTCTCACATGTTTGTAATGCAAATCCTATCTAGGTATCAATAAATATAGAGGTACCTATATTAAATATCTGTATATCTGTGTGTGTATATGTGTATATATACAAATAATTTTATATATGAATTTTCCCCTCACATGTTTGCAAGTCTTTGCAAATCCTATATAGATATAGTTATAAAGAGAGAGATGTCTAGATAGATATATATACATATAGATATATAGGGCTTGCAAATATTACAGGGGGAAACTGTAATTTTACATTATTCTTATATAAAACTATATAAGAATAATAATAATTGTATTTATTTCATTGCAGTCCTCTCCTCCTTCAAGTCAAATCGCTCAAAGAAGATTTACAGAAAGGTAAGGCTATCATAGAAAGATGGTGGAATATATATGTGTGTGTGTGTGTGTGTGAATATATATATATATATATATATATATATATATATATATATATATATATGATACTATTATTATGCTCCTTTCAGAAACCATCAGCGTAGACCAGACAGTTGCTCAGGTCTTCCGCCTGAGGCCCTACCAAGACGTGCATGTCAATGTCGTCGATCCAAAGGTAAATATTATAATGTAATTCAATAATAATATAATAAATTTTAATAAAAATGTAATAAATTATAATTATAGCAGCTAATGCTTCTAAGAGAAAGTCTGGCTAGACAGAGGACAAGGGCATAAATATTTTAATAAGAATTATATATGATGATATGTTTTAATAATTGAATGTATTTGAATAATATACTATAGTAATGTTCCAAAATGTTACTATTATATTAATATGTTTTATATAAATGTAATATATTTTATATAACTATAATACCTTTTAATAATATAATATAAACTAGATTATAATATAACAATAGTAATATAATTTAGAAATGTAATACTATTACAAGAATAATATATTTTTATCTATCTTCTATACATCTATGCACATAATAAAAGTGAAAATGTGTATGATTTCCCCTTAGAAAATCCTGCTTGCTCGGGGCCAATTATGTTGTTTTGGTTGACCCATGATTCTAGCCTAGTCTGGAGAAGCTTGGCATACATCTTTCCTATTATAGAGAGCAGGCTAATAGGTTGATAGTTTGTTGGATCATTTTGGTCTCCTTTTTTGAATATTGGGACCATTATGGAGGAGGTCCATGCCTTTGGCATGAACCCCGTTTCGTTGATCCTTGTAAAAAGGTTTGCTAGCAGGTTTGCCCACCATAGTGGGTTTGCCTTCAGTATTTCAAGTGCTGAGAAGCCTCCAAAGGCACTCCCTCCAAGGACATTGCAGGTTGTAGCAAACGCCATGAGCATGTAGCCCAGCCCCTGCCAACGTCTTGTCTACAGCATCATCCGTTGGGAGCCCCTCCCTCAACACCAACTGCTACTCCAGGATCAGAGTAAAGAGAGGGGTCCAGGAAAATACTGTATTTATTTTATTTATTGTATTGTATACTACTTGTAAGCCGCTCGTGAGTCCCCTTCGGGGTGAAAAGGGCGGCATATAAATGTCAAAAATAAATAAATAAATAATAAACGTCCTCCCCAAACACCATAGTGCCCGCCAGCCAATTAAAGGCTTTCATTCAGGGACGATTCCATCCTAGATGTTGTGTTTTTCTTCCAGAATGGACATCCCAGGGTTTCTTTCTCTCTTTATTGGCGTGTAATTTGCGTAACCCCGCTCACTGCCTCCCCCTTAACCTTTTCCTACTCTTTCCTATGGCAAACAGCAAACAGAGGAAGACTTCACTTTGATTTATAGGAATTGTTGTTCACCTACATACAGAGAGCACTGTGAATGAGAAAACAATATCAATTTAAATAATAATAATTATTATAGTAATATAATTCAAACGGTTCTGGCCCAGTTTACCTGTCCAAACGTATCTCCTGCTATGAACCATCTCGCAGCTTAAAATCGTCAGGAGAGGCCCTGCTCTCGATCCCACCATTCTCACAAACGCAGTTGGTGGGGACAAGAGACAGGGCCTTCTCAGCAGTGGCCCCCCGTCTGTGGAATTCCCTCCCTAAGGACATCAGGCTGGCCACCTCCCTTCTGTCCTTCAGGAGACAACTGAAGACCTGGCTGTGGGACCAGGCGTTCTACTAGAGGCATTGACCAGAGGACAATGGCAGCTTGGAAAGGAAACTTGAATATTATGACATTGGATTTGTTTGGCTGGATCTTGGTTTTAACGGCGTGTTAGTTGAATGTTAAATGATTTTTTTGATGATTTTTATAATGTTTTAATCAAGCTTTACTGTTTTTAATTGAATGTATATGTTGACAGCATCACTGATGCTTATGTAAAGCCTCCCTGAGTCCCCTTGTGGGAGAAGGGTGGGGTAGAAATGAAGAATTAATTAAAGTAATATATTGAAATAATAATAATCCAAAATAAAATAATAGCAATTTAAAATAATACATTAAAGTAATTATTATTAACATATTCATAATAATAATGCATTATTTTGCATTTCCAGGATGTGACCCTCGATTTGGTAGAATTGACCTTCAAAGATCAGTACATCGGTCGAGGGGATATGTGGCGGCTAAAGAAGAGCTTGGTGATTTGCATAATTTATTCGTTTGCCTAATTTGCAGAATTTATTTGTATGTTACAAATTTATTTATGTATTATTTGCATTCACTTCTTAGGTCGGCACCTGTGCGTACGTCACTCAGAAAGTGGAATTTGCCGGAATTCGGTATTACTCTCATTGTATATTATTATATCATTAATATAGTAATATTATATTTTATATTTTCTAATTTTATTTAATATTGATAATATTTTATGTTATATTTATTTAATATTTTAATATATATTATATTCAATAATATTGTAAGTTAGTGAATCTATTTGAGGACTTAGAATTGTATTTTATGTATTTAAATTAGTTTATGGCTCATAATTCATAATTCATTATTTCAATTAAATTAAGTAATTATATTTTTAGTAAATTTTGATTGAATTAATTACTCATTTTTAATTTATTAATTATTTACATTTTTTTATTTAAAATTTATTATTCACATTTTTAGTGTTGTTGATTACTATTGATATATTTGATTTTATAGGGCCCAAGCCGGAGAGCTTTGGGTTAAAAGCGAAAAAGTGACTTGTGGTTATATCAGTGAAGATACTCGGGTAAGACATTTCCTGATATAATTGAAAATATATATGCACATTTGTTGATTTGTTCCATGAAGGCTCCTGATTGGCTTCAATGGATCAGGACCAAAACATGTCAGATATATTTGTTATGCCCTAAATTAAAATTATTGGAGTCTTTTAAGTATGAAACCCAGCCAATTTTGGAGCAAATGCCCAAAAAATGAAAATTGGAATTGGAAAGGATCAGCTGCAGAGCTCAGTATATACATATACTGAGGCATATATTTCTATGCCTCACAGGTGGTTTTCCGCTCAACCTCCGCCATGGTTTACATCTTTATCCAGATGAGTTGCGAAATGTGGGATTTCGACATTTATGGTATGGGAAGAAAACAAATATAATGGAACATAAAATGTATTACAATAATAACAAGATTATAATTTCTGGGTATTTTCATTTACGCAGGTGACCTCTATTTTGAGAAGGCCGTCAACGGTTTCCTGGCTGACCTTTTCACCAAGTGGAAGGTCAGCTTGTTGTTGTTTTGTTGTTGTTGTTTTTGTTGTCATTACTTTGTGAAGGTCTAACAAATGTATGTTGTCTTCTTCAGGAGAAGAACTGCAGCCACGAAGTGACCGTCGTCCTTTTTTCTAGAACGTTCTACGAGGCTAGGTCCATAAGTAAGTACTTGTGCAAGACCATTTTCATGTTTCACTCATATTTAAATTTCCTTGTTTTCACATTTTGCTCTTATTTAAATTTCCTCGTTTTCACTTTTTCCTCATATTTAAATTTTCACGTTTTGTTCATATTTCAATTTTCCTGTTTTCAAGTTTCCTTCATTTTTAAATTTACCCTTTTTCACATTTTCTCGTATTTAAGTTTCCGTTTTTACGTTTCCCTCATGTTAAAATTTCCCCATTTTCACGTTTCCCTCGTGATAAAATTTTCCTGTTTTCACATTTTGCTCACATTTAAATTTCCCCATTTTCACGTTTTGCTCTTACTTAAATTTCCCCTTTTTCATGTTTCTCTCATATTTAATTTCCCTAATTTTCACTTTTTTCTCGTATTTAAATTTCCCCGTTTTCACGTTTTGTTCATATTTAAATTTCCCTGTTGTCATGTCTTCCTCGTATTTAAATTTCTTTTTTTTCACGTTTGTTCATATTTACATTTCCCCATTTTCTTGTTTTGCTCATATTAAAATTTTCCCATTTTCCTCGTATTTAAATTTCCCTGGTTTTCATGTTTTGTTCTTCTTTAATTACCCTGCTTTCACTTTTTCCTTCCAATTTCCATGTTTTCACTTTTTTCTCTTACTATTTGAGATTATTTCCCCATAAAGCAAATTCTGTATTGAACTATCAACCGAAATAATAGAAAAATTAAGAAAATACTAAAAATAATAGTAAGAAATAATTATAATAATTCCTTCCTTCGTTTCAATTTTGCTCAGTTTGAGATGATTTCCTCATTAACATAAATCAATCAAAATAATCGTAAAACGAACAACAAAATATCCAAAAATAATAGTAAGAAATAATTATAATAATTCAAATTTGAGATTTTTTCCCTGTAATGTAAATCCCATATGGAACTAAATAACGATAAGAGGAAGGATTATAATAAGGACAGTCGTAACCGTAAATTCTGAATAACCTTTTGGAAGGTGGGAAACGTTCACAATCATTCAACAAAATGGATATTTATTTAAATGTTTCCTCTTCCTCCCTCTGTATTTTAGGCGACTTTCCGGAGTCGCACCGCCCCGCCATTCAACAAGATCACCAAGGCCGGTCCTATGAGGATTTTTACAAGTAGGTTCCTCCCTAATACAGTTCCATTTCTGTCACTGATTCTCACTCCATTGGTTTTCCCCATGGAACACCCTTTTTGGGGACGTGACATGAAGTGACCTTAGCTCGCTTCCTGTTGTCATTCTTTGTGATGCTTTCAGGGTCGTGGTCCAAAACGAGAGGCGGGAGGAATGGACCTCGTTACTCGTCACCATCAAGAAGCTCTTTATCCAGTACCCCGTCCTGGTCCGCCTGGAGCAAGCGGGTGGGGAAAATACTCCTTTATACGTTTCATATAGAAATGAATTTAATATTTCATATAGAAATACATTTAATAATATTCATATTTCAATGAATAGTATAGAAACACACCCACACATCTATAACTTGGCACAGAGACCCAACATGGCCAACTGTGTATGCAGGCGGGATTTGGGGATGATTGCCCTCAGAATCTGGAAGTTGTACTTGTATCTGCATCCAGAGAAACTGTGGCACCCACTGACAATCGACCCAGCAGCAAACTTGGCACAGAGAAGTCCCATGACCAACTGAACATACTGCAGAGGTTTTGGGGGAAATGACCTTGATTTTGGGAGATGTAGTTCACCTGCATCCCGAGAGCACTCAGCCCAGCTGACGACAATCTGGACCACACTTGGCACACAGACGCAACATGGCCAACTGCGAGTACTGGCAGGGTTTGAGGGTGATTGCCCTGGGAATCTGGGAGCTGTAGTTCTCTTTATCCAGAGAGCACTGAACACATCCAACAACGGATCTGGACCAAACTTAAGTGATATTACCTAACATCCGAAAACAAACAATTCCTGCTTATAATATCCCATGGTCTGTGGCAGCCGAAGTGGTTGAAAGTACTGCAAATCCTGTCATCTGTGGTCCATCCTCCCCCAAACCGCACCAGGACATAGAGTGGGTCATGGGGGTTATGTGTGCCAAGTTTGGTCCATGTTAGTCTTTCATGGGGTCGCAATGGCCTGTGGAGGTGGCAGCTAATCAGAAAGCTACCATACACAATGACACCCACACAAATGACGGATCTGGACCAAACTTAGCACACAGATTCCCAGCGACCAATGGAACATACTGGAGAAGTTTGGGGGACATTGATCTTGATTTATGGTCATTATAGTTCACATGCATGCAGAGAAACTGACCCCCACCAACAATGCACTGGGACCAAAGTTAGCACAGAGAAGCCCCATGACTTAAGTGAACATACTGCCGGGGTTTGTGGGAATAGACCTTGATTTTGGATGTTGTAGTTCGGCTGCATCCAGGGAACACTGAACCCAGCCCGCAACGGGTCTGGGCAACACTTGGCATACAGGGCAACAATATGGGCAACTGTGAATACTGGAGGGGTTTGGGGTTACTGTTCTGGGAATCTGGGCATTGTAGTTCACCCTTATCCAGATTGGCCTGAACCCAACTGATGTCAGATCTGGACCAAACTTGGCACACAGACCCAACATGGCCAATTGTGCATACAAGCAGGGTTTAGAGGTGAATGACCTTGGCTCTGGGAGTTATTGTTCACCCTTATCCAGAGATCTTGACACACAGACCCAACATGGCCAGCTGTTAATACTAGTGGGGTTTCAGGGTTATTTCCCAGGGAATCTGGGAATTGTAGTTCACCCACATCCTTATGCATTTTTTAATGGGAGCATTCATAAACAACAAAATCAAAGACTCCTTTTCTAATAGTGTTATTAATTAACTAAACAATATGACCTAACACTCCAAAACAAACAATGCCTTTTCCAAATAACCCAAGCACTGCCATGTACTCAAGCTAGTATATAATAAAAGCACTAAATAAAATGTGATATAAAACATAATAAAATACAAATAAAATATAATAAAATACAAAATTCCTTTACATTTCATATAGGAATTAATTTTAATTTTGTATGGAAATTCCTTTACTTTCGTGTAGAAAATCATTTACCTTCCATATAGGAATTCATTCATACAGTTTATGTTTCAAATAGAAATTCATTGACTTTCATCTAGAGTACCATAGAGTTGTGTGGGAGGACCTAGAAAATGCCTAGAGGGGGTGTATTTTGAGGATGAATGGGATCCAATGGCTCATCTGGTGATCCTTTTCTCCTAGAGGGGTTCCCTCCGGGACGTAATTCGACCTCAGCCCAAGGAAACTATTTGGAAGCCATCAATCTGTCCTTTAACGGTGAGCAGAAAGACTACCGCAGATCAGAAGTGTAGTGAGATCACAGTATTGCATTGTTAGTAGTAGTATCCGAATTATAGGAAGCGAGAGTCATTGGTTTTGTCCATTTCATTGAGTCACAGATACATTTTGAAAGACGAAACCTATGTAAATGAAAGCTTTCCCATAGAAAAAGGAAATGCTGTATGATTGGCTTGTCTAGGACCCATAGAAATATCTTGAAAACCGTAAAAAAAATGGGATTTGTACAATCTTAATTTTGAGGACCCAGTGGGGATGGAAGAATCAACCGTTTTGTCCCTGCTCATTAGTCAGTTTAAAGGAGAGATAATTATATTTTGGAGTTGATAGACTTGACCTATGAAAATGAAAATTTCTCCATAGAAAATGTTTCAAAGTTGTATAAAGAAATTCTTAGAAAATTCTCAGACTTGTAAAAATATTTCAAATTTGTATAAAGATTCAAAAAAATTCTCAAACTTCAAATTAGTAAAAAGATACTCGGAAAAGACTTGAACTTGAAAAAAACACTTCAAATTAGTAAGAAGAGACTTGTAAAGAAATCTCAGGCTTGTCCGAAAAAATAACACAACTTTCTTTGTTTATCCCAACCAGTCTTTGACAAGCATTACATCAACCGAAATTTTGACCGGACGGGTCAAATGTCGGTAGTGATCACACCCGGTGTGGGCGTCTTTGAGGTGGACCGCCTCCTCATGATCCTGACCAAGCAACGCATGATCGATAACGGTAATCAAACAAACCCATATTTATTAGCCATTGATTTAATAAACTTCATCTTCTTTTGTGAGTGTTTGATGTTTTGTTCTCTCCATCGGAGTGATAATCACAACAGCAATGGGAGTTATAGTCCAGTCAGAATGGGAGATAGTGTAATTGTGATAGGAGATATAGTTAAGTAAGGGTGGGAGATATTGTCTAATCATAATGGGAAATATGGATAGGAGATATAATCCAGTCATGATGGGAGATGCCATCCAATTGTAATGAGAGACATAATATAATCATGATGGGAAATATCTGCCAATCGTGATGGTAGATATAGTCCAGTTGTGATGGACTATATCACAACTGGATTGTTGATATAGTCCAATCATGATGGGAGATACAGTTCAATCATGATGGGAGATACAGAGTAATAGTGATGGGAGATAATTGTCCAGTTGTGATGGGAGATATAGTCTAATTGTGATGGGTGATGTAGTTCAATAATATATGGAGAGAATTGGATTAATCGCCATATGAAATATTTCCTTAAATTTCGTAGGGATCGGTGTCGATTTGGTCTGTATGGGAGAGCAACCCCTCCATGCTGTTCCTCTCTTTAAGGTAGGACTTTGTTTATCCTACACATTCTTATTTATTGTAGGCATTTCTTGGACCTCCTGTGCAAGAATACCATAGAGTTGCGCTGGAAAACCTAAGAGTTGTGCTGGAAAACCCTGAGGGCACATTTTTTTTCCTTTTTATTTCTTATAGCTACACAATCGTTCCAGTCCTGGGGATTCTCGTTTGGGAGATGACTATAACATACCGCATTGGATAAACCACAGGTATATCTCATTGAGGAATATATATCTATATAAATAAAAATGTTATGTTCGTTTGTGGGATTAACATAACTAAAAAACCACTGGACAATCTGACACCAAATTTGGATACAAGACACCTATCAGGCCAACAAGTGACCATCACTCATAAAAACACTGAAAAACACAGCAGAAGAGACTTCAAAAGCCTAAAAATAAAATACATTACAATGCATTCACAAAACCACACACGTGCACGCACACACATATATATGCAAACACACATATATACCCATATACACAAAAATATGCACACACATATACACACACAAAACACATATACACAGATTAGGCCACAGCAATGCATGGCAAAGGACAGCTAGTACATCTATATAAATAAAAATGTAATGTTCGTTTGTGGGATTAACATAACTCAAAAACCATTGGATTAATTGACACCAAATTTGGACACAGTACACCTATCAGGCCAATGAATGACCATCACTCATAAAACACTAAAAAACATATCAGAAGGGACTTTAAAAGCCAAAAAATAAAAAATACATTACAACACATGTGCAAAACCACACATATATATGTAAACACACATATATACGCATATATATATACACACACAAAACACATATACACAGACTGGGCCACAGCAATGCGTGCCAGGGGACAGCTAGTATTATATATATATATGTGTGTGTGTGTAATTCTAGAGTTGTCAATAACAATATACCAAAATATCTTTTTTTTTTACAGTTTCTACACTTCAAAAAGCCAGCTCCAATGTAATAGTTTCACTCCACGCATCAAGCTGGCAGGCAGAAAGGTAAGGATATTCCCATTTCATATATTATTCCCCCCCCCCCCCCCCAATATTTTCAATCTTAAATTAAATTCCGAAGGTGCTATTGGTAAAATAAAATGGTTCCCCCACGGACCTCACTCTTTCTCTGTTTTCCCGCCTTTCGCAGCCGCAGGGTGAAAGGGCAAAGAACAGCAAGGATTCATGTGAGTCATTTCCCCAAATTATTTAATTTAGTTTGTTGTTAGTCTTGTAATCACTGTGTTGTTACTCCATTAATAACCATACAGTTGTCCTGTAATAACTATACAGTTCTATTGTAATAACAGTAGTGTTGTTATTCCCATTATAACCATGGGGTTGCCTCATCATAACCATGGGGTTGCCCCATAAGAATTATAGGATTCCTCCGTAATATGTGGGATATTGATCCTCTCGTCCCTTAAGAACCATACAGTTGTCCTGTAATAACTGTAGAGTGGTCCCTTAATAACAGTGGCTCTGTTAGTCCCATTATAATTATACGGTTGTCCCGTGATAACAGTGGTGGTGTTATTCCCATTATAACCATGGGGTTGTCTCATCATAACCATGGGCTTGCCCCATAAAAATTATAGGATTCCTCCTTAATATGTGGGATGTTGATCCTCTCATTGTCCCATAATAACCATATAGTTATAGGATTTCTCCATCATAAGTGTGCTGTCGATACTCTTGTTATAATAGTACAGTTGTCCCATAATAAGCAAAGGGTTGTCTGATAATAACCATAGAGCTGCCTCTTAATAACTGTAACGTCATCTCATGATATTGTGCTGTCCTGTAACGGGCATAGGGTTGTCTTGTCCCGTAATGTTTCAATTACTGTTGTGACCCTAGTGTTGTGTTTCCAGCGCTGGGAGCTCCGAAAGAAACTGAGAACGCCCTTCCAATCCAGGTGGACTACGATGCCTATGATAGCCAGGTCTTCAGGCTCCCTGGACCCTCCCGGGCACAGCGTTGTGCCCCATTCCGGTGAGAGGGGGCCCTCCCTCCTGTGATACCTATCTGTGGCCTTGTTCCATAGTCACCAGGGTGGCATCTGAACGCAATAATTATGGGTTTGTCTATAGTCACCATAGAGGTGTCTCCTAACTGGGGGATTGTCTCATAATAACAGTGGAGTTTTCCTGCTATAGCTGTAGCCTTACCCCTTAATAACTGTGGGTTGTGCTGCTAAATTCATAGTGTTATCCCATAATGACCAGGGCATTGTCTTGTTATATCAGTGGTCTTATCCCATAATATTCTATTATATCCATGGCCTTATCCCGTAATAAGTGGGGCCTTGTGCTACTATATTCATGGCATTATCCCATAATGACCAGGGCCTTGTCCTGTATAACAAGGGGGTTGTCCTGTTATATCCATGGTCTAATCCCATAATACCCTATTATATCCATTGCATTAACCTGTAAGAACTGGGGCCATGTTTGTTATATCTATGACATTATCCAATAATAACAAGGGGGTTGTCCTGTAATATCAATGATCTGATCTCATAATATCCAATTATATCCATGGCCTTATCCCATAATAACCAGGGTCTTGTGCTACTATATCCATGGCAGTGTCTTGTAATGACCTTGGCCTTGTTTTGTCATATCCATGATCTTATCCTCTAATAACGAGGAGATTGTCCTGCTATATTCATGGCGTTACCCAGAACGTTGTTCTGTTATATCCATGGCCTTATCCCACAATAACCATGGGGCTGCCCTGTCGTAATCGGTGGGTTGTCCTGCAGTCGCCCTAGTGTCATGTGATGAAGTAGGGAATTTCCTGCGCAGGTCAGTCCGGGAACGTGAGAGCCGTCCCCGGAAAAGCTCAAGCTCCTATGATGTCTCGTCCAGCCCTTCCCGCCTGGGAGGGCGGGCGCTTCATCTTCCCCCAGAGGAAGCGCGGAGCCAGGCCTCGGACGACAGCTCCCTCGGCCGCATCTCCAACATCCTCATGATCCCCCGCCCACACCTTCACACGACCTATGAAGTCAGCAGCTCCTTGGGATACACTGGCCACCGAGGTGAGGACAATCCTGATATTTGGAAGCTCGTCTATATTATATATTTTTTTTACAAATTTGTTTATATGTCTTGTCTTGATAAATATAACATCGCCATATGGACCCAAAGACTGTGAATGGCAACAAGCAATGAATCAATGTTCTCTCATGGTATTTTTTGCAGATGCCATGGAGAGCATGTTGGAATCGCAACAGCGCGACTCCAGCGCTCCTGGAAGGTTCCATGTCGGAAGTGCCGAGTCCATGTTGCACCTCCGTTCAGCTGGAGGGTACGCCCCGCAACGGGCCCTCATAAACCCCTTTGCCCCCTCTCGGATGCCCATGAAACTCACCTCCAACCGGCGACGTTGGGTACACACGTTCCCTGTGGGTGAGTAAGGAATGCTGTTTGCGGGTCTCCCTCAATTGCTGATAAGAGCTGTGCAATCAATGAAAAACTCGTTACAACATTAAAAACTCATATTTATGTGTGTGTGCATATTAGGACTGGGTGGCCCATGAGATCTCTTCCAACTCTATGATTCTACTTTAGAAATGAAAGACTGGTGCCCCCCTAATTTTTTTTCATCTACCTCTCAGCCTTCTCTTCTTCAGGCTAAACATGCCCAGCTCTTTAAGCCACTCCTCATAGGGCTTGTTCTCCAGACCCTTGATCATTTTAGTCACCCTCCTCTGGACACATTCCATCTTAGCGTCAAAATCTCCCTTCAATTGTGGTGCCCAGAATTGGACACAATATTCCAGGTGTGGTCTAACCAAGGCAGAATAGAGGGGTAGCATGACTTCCCTGGATCTAGACACTATACTATTGATGCAGGCCAAAATCCTGTTGGCCTTTTTTGCCGCCGCATCACATTGTTGCCTTCATTTTTTGTTTGTTTATAAAGTGTAACATACAATGAGATTAACTTTTGTAAATTAAATGTTTTAATGGCCTCTTTGGAAGTGATATAAGCTGCCTTGGATACCGTTCTCAGGGAACGGTGTAACATGAAATGATCAGTTATATGTAGCAGGGGAAACGACAAGACTGGTATAATTAACAATTAACGTTTGTGAATAAATGAAGATTTACATCCATCATTGATTGGACAGGTCCATCAGGAGAAGCTATCCAAATCCACCACCAGACCCGCCAGAACATGGCGGAGATGCAAGGGAGTGGACAACGGGATTGGACGCATTCCTCTGCCGAACTCCTGGAGCTCGCCTACCATGAAGCCACGGGGAGGTCAGGTTCGCCCCCAAATCCTGTGTATCTAGGGTCCTTTGGGTTTGGTCAATCGGCCTTATGAATCCTTTTTGGCTTTTTCAGGCACGGGGTTTTCCGCCATCCAGACGACACTGTTTCCTTCTCAAGTTTCAGCGGGACAGAAGATTATCCTCACCAGTTAACGGGGAGCCATGGTACTGATGAAAGTCTCTTGTTTTGTACAAACGAAGATCAACAGGCTCCAAATTTCAGCATTTTGACTGTGGATAATTTGGTTTCCCGCAGGGACGAACGTCAGAACCCAAGCCAAAGACTCTGCTGACGGATCAGTCTCCAACTCTCCAGATCCAAGTAAGTATTGAGGTAGAACCCAAAACATAACTGAAAAAGAGATGGGAACGAGACCTGGTTCCTAAATCTAGAGTCCCACCACAACCCACAACTTCTTGTCCGCGGCTGTTTTTCCTCTTACTTCTCCATCACTCAATATCAGGGGGTGGTGGGAAGGCTCATATTTAATTTGTCTTGTTCTGGGCCATTCACAGTTTGTCCTCTTGCTTTGCTAACTAAAACCTGCTCATTGGGGAGGAGGGTGAATTAATTCCACGGGTGATCAATAGAGGGCACACTTCTCCAAGCTCTCCCACTTGCCTGCCCCTGATTTAAATAACATTTGAATACTTTTAGACATATCCGAAATTGCATGAGGGGTTGAACGATAAGTTGGCATGGGGGCCCTGCGTTATTTTAACAAACTCTGTCTTTCTTTCTTCCTTCCTTTTCCTCCCCACCCTCCTTCCTTCTTCACCTCTCCCACCCTTCTCCTTCCCCGGCTTCCTGTCCTGTCCTGGGCAACCTTTCACTCCTGCCTCCGCTTCCCCTCCCCAACCCCCCTCCCCGAATGAATGGTTTCCTCCTTCCGCCCCCATGATGCAACGAGGCAGTTCTGCTGACCCTGTCTGCTCCCCCCATAGTGCCAGGCTTCTGTTGTACCGTCGGGGTGGACTGGAAGTCCCTCACTACCCCGGCCTGCCTCCCCCTCACCACGGATTACTTCCCCGACCGCCAGAGCCTCCAGAATGACTACACCGAGGGATGCTACGACCTTCTCCCAGAAGCCGATATGGATAGGTATGCCTTTGTAGATGGCATCAGGATACACAGGGTCCGGGGGTGTGTTCCCCCTTGTGTCATTGTTATTACCCCAATGAATGAGATGGGGAACAGAAGGCGATATCGCAATATATGCTATGACCTCCTCCTGGAAGCCGATATGGACAGGTATAGCCCTGTATATGGCATTGTATACAGCATCACAATAAACAGGATCTGGGAGTTGTTTTATTGTTTCATTCCATTCCCCCCTCCCCTCCTTGGACATACAATTTATACTGCAGACTACAGAAATTACTATTGAAATATCAATCTCAATCTTAATTTTTCCGCTCCACATCTTAACACATTCTCTAAGCAATTCCTGACTGGTTCCCACATCCTCTTAATTATCATAACCTTTTCCATTTTGTCTATATTGTTCCATTTACAGTTTTTTTATTTCCACATTTAACATACTAACTTGCACCAATTCGTCAGAGTCCAATTTATTTTTTCTTTCCAACGCCTCACTAAAACGCTATTAATTTGTCAACCAATTTTTCTTTTTGTATATTATTCACTCCTGTTGGATGGGGTTAAACTCCCCCTGGAGACTCAGCATTGCAGCTTGGGAGTGATCCTGGATTCATCACTGAGCCTGGAACCTCAGGTCTCAGCGGTGGCCAGGGGAGCTTTTGCACAATTGCTAGCTGCGCCCGTACCTTGGGAAGTCTGATCTGGCCACAGTGGTCCACGCTCTTGTTACATCCCAAAAAGATTACAGCAACGCACCCTATGTAGGGTTGCCTTTGAAGACTCTTTGGAAACTCCCAACTAGTCCAGTTGGCGGCAGCCAGATTACTCACCAGAGCGACACACAGGAAGCATACCACTCCCCTGTTACGTCAGCTCCATTGGCTGCCGGTCCACTTCCGAACGCAATTCAAAGTGCTGGCCTTAGTCTATAAAGCCCTATACGGTTCCAGCCCAGCTTACTTGTCTGAACGTATCTCCCTCTATGATCCACCTCGGAATTTAAGATAATCGGGGAGGCCCTCCTCTCTATCTCGTCACCCTATCAAGCGCGATTGGCGGGGACAAGAGACAGGGTGGTGGCCCCCATCTGTGGAACACACTTCCCAGTGAAATTAGGTCGTCTCCATCTTTCCTCTCCTTTAGAAAAAAGTTTAAATCATGGCTATGAGACCAGGCATTCGGGTCACAGGCTTAGAAGTAATAATCACAATGACTCAGGAGAATTGATAATAGACAGGCCTTGGACTGGGACTCTGGATGGTGAATTGGATTTGGATGTGGTCGTATTGTTAGTATTGCTTTTAAGTGAAATTTTATAATTTAATGTTTTAACCAATGTTTAATTTGTGTTTATATTGCTCTTGTTTGTTTTGTTATTGACATCTAATGGTTGCCAGTTGTAAGCCGTATTGAGCCGTATTTGAGAAGGACGGGATATAAATACTTGTAATAAATAAATAGTCCTTTCATGTAATACATTTCTATTAGCTATTATTACTTGTAGATTTCACATTCTATTGATTTCTCCTTCAATCATTCTCCAGTATTTTTGCATTTGATCACTTTCCCGTATCACGTGATTAAACACCCGTCTTTGCTCACAACCATGCCAACACCTATCCTTTATTTCTGGTAAGAAACGTGAAAGTTGTGCAGCAGTTCTGTACCATTTTTTAATGGTTGGCTTGTAATAATCATTGCATCATCAGTAAAAAGATTGAGCTTTATTTCTCCCTTTTGTCCTCCTTCCTTTTCTATTGTATATCCTGTCCAATTAGTGCTATTCCTGATGCATTCAGCTAGTATTTCTATCGCTATTACAACTAGAGTAGGGGATAATGGACAGCCTTGTTTTGTGTCATTTAAAATTGGGATTTCTTCTGTCCTTCCATCGTTCACCCTTACTCTTTCTTTACAGTTTCTATACAACTGTTGCAATGTTTTGCAAAAATGTTTCCCCATATTCAGCCGTTGATACAATCTTAACAAAAATGTATGATTGGCCTTATCAAAAGCTTTATAAACATCCAATTTGAGAATTCCAATTTTTTTTCTTATTCAAATTTGCGTGGTTCATTGCAATTACCACATTTTTATTGAATCCCTAATTTTTCTTCTCTTCACAAATCCATATTGATCTTCTTTGATTATTTTTGGCATTATTGTTTACAATCTTTTTGCCAGAATTTTTGTAAATATTTTATAATCCTAATTACACAGACTAATAAGTCTATAAAACCCTGGTTGTTTTAAATCTCTTCTTTTTTTTTTTTTTGTATAGTTAAAATGTCTGATACTTTCCATGTTATTGTGATTATTACCTCAGTGGATGAGGTAAGGAACAGAAGGTGGTATCACAATATATGGCACAGGAAGACCTCCTCGGTCTCCGCCGTTTCAATACATGACAAAAGTAGAGACACCTCCCCTCCCACTCCGGTATTCAAGGAGGTACGTTCCCAACCGATTGTGATTACCTGATAGATGAAATGAGAGTCATAAGACGCCATAGTGATATATGATGCAGAAAGACTCTTCCCGTATCCACCAACTTGATACATGACACAGTGAAACACCCCTTCCTCCCGTATCAGTGTGTGTGTGTGGGGGGGGGGGGGAGGTATGTTCCCTATAGATTGTGATTACCCATTGGTTCCCATATCCGCCATCACAATACACAGCATCGTAAGACCCCCATCTCCTCTGGGAGGGATACATTTCCCACAGATTGTAATTACCTGATGGTACCCATACCCGGCATCCTGATACACAGTATGTAAAACTTATTCCCCCGCGTATTGTGATTACCTCAGTGGATGAGGTGGAGGACAGCAGGCAATATCGCAATATATGGCATAGGTCTCCTCGGTCTCCACCATCACGGTACACAACAAAATAGGGACACCTCCCCCCATCCCAGATATTCAGGAGGTATGTTCCTGACATTGTGGTCAGGAAGTCATCAGATGCCATAGTGATAGATGACTATTCAAGGGGACACCCTCCCCTTATATTAGAGAATTGTGAGAATGACCCCGCTTCTGAATCCAACAAACCCAACTCTTTGCTTCCCAGGCGAGACGAGGAAGGGGTCCAGATGACGGCCCAGCAGGTCTTTGAGGAATTCATTTGCCAGCGACTGATGCAGGGCTACCAGCTCATTGTCCAAAGCAAGCTGCAGAAAGCGGCGGCTGCTGTCCAGCCCCCACTGAGTAGTAGCCCCCTCTACAGCCGAGGTGAGGCAGCCATCTTTCTTGCTTTGTTACTCATAAGGGAAGTCAAGTTCTTGTTTGTTGGTTATTCAACATGGGCAACAAAGTGAGGCATATAGATATATATAATAAATATAATGAATCAAATGTATGTGCCTCTTGTTGTGGCGACTTAGGCCTGGTGTCCCGGAACCGGTTGGAAGAAGAGGACCAGTACTGGCTGAGCATGGGGCGGACTTTCCACAAAGTTACTCTCAAGGATAAGATCATCACCGTCACACGATACCTGCCCAAGTGAGTGTCCTGCCTAAGCATTGGTTCAAACAGAGGACTGTTTTCTCCCTTTTCCAGCTCTGAGAAGGAGGGCCTACTTTCTCCTTTCTCCAGCTCTGAGGAGACTTACTTTCTCTCAGTCTGAAAAGGCCCACTTTCTCCCCTGTCCAGCTCTGAGGACTACTCTCTCTCATTTCTAAGAAGGCCTACCTTCTTCAGCTTTGAGAAAGACCTACTTTCTCCCTTCTCCAGTTCTGAGAATGCTTACTTTCTGTATATCCAGGAAGGCCTACTTTTTCTCTTCTCCAGCCTGAGGATTACTTTCTCCCTTCTTCAACTCTGAGAAGGCCAGCTTTCTTTATATCCAAGAAGGCCTACTTCCTTCTCCAGCTCTGGGAGGATTTGCTTTCTCCAGATCTGAGAGGAAGGCCTACTTCCTGCTTTCTCCTCTCTCCAGCTCTGAGAAGGCCAACTTTCTGTTATCCGAGAAGGCCTTCCTCCCTTTTCCAGCTCTGGGAGGGTCTACTGTCTCCAGATCTCTCTTCTCCAGCTCTGATATTATTTTGTTGTGGTGGTTGTCTTTCTAGGTATCCATATGAGTCTGCACAGATCAACTACACGTACAGCCTCTGTCCGTCCCATTCAGATTCGGAGTTCTTTCTTTGTTGGGTGGAGTTCTCACATGAGAGACTGGAGGAGTACAAGTGGAATTACCTCGACCAGTATATCTGTTCTGCGGGTTCGGAGGACTTCAGGTCAGCCGCCTTTCCTTTCTCTGCCCCGTTTCCTCCCCCTTCCATAGAGACTTTTCTGTGTGGCAGGATGGCATCACTCCCGTATCTGCGGCGGATACCATAGCATTGGGTGGGAGGACCTTCCCCTCCATGGGACGAGGTCATTGAGAACGATGAAGGCATCCTCCGCAGTGAAGTGGATTACTTCCTTCTACTCATCAAATGCGAGGCAGCCATTGTCCTTCCAAGATGGCCTCCAATCCAAATGAAAGTTGGTGATTGTCCTTCTAAGATGGCCTCCAGTCCAAATGATTGTTGGTGAATGTCCTTCCAAGATGGCCACTACCTTCCCCTCCATGAGACGATGGTCATTGAGCGTGACTAAGACATCATCTACGATGAAGTGGATTACTTCCTTCTACTAGCGAAACGTGAGTCATCCATTGACCTTCCAAGATGGCGGCTGCCTTCCCCTTCACGGGCCGAGGTCATTGAGAGAGATGAAGACCTAATCCATGGTGAAGTCTATAACATTCCTCTACTAGCCAAACACAAGTCTTCCAAGATAACAACGCACCCAATCAGAATGAAGGCTGCATGTTCCGAGGATGCCATAGAGCTTCCTAGGAGGGCCTTGAGAATGGCTAGAGAATCATCGCGCTAATGCTCTCCTCTCCCCCCTCTTGCAGCCTGATTGAGTCACTGAAGTTCTGGCGCACGCGCTTCCTGCTGCTGCCAGCCTGTGTGGGGGCCACCAAGCGCATCCTGGAAGGGGAGTCCCACTGCGACATCTACGGCGAGAAGCCCCGCTCAGAGGAGGAGGAGTGGCAGCTCCGGGACGGCTTCCTCCGCTTTGTGGAGGGGCTCAACCGCATCCGCAGGCGCCACCGCTCTGACCGCATGCTCCGGGTGAGCTGAGGGAACTGCCCATGCCTACCTGCCATGGGGTTGTGCAAGTAAGGGCCACTGTGTTGACGTGGAGCCCCTGTTTCCCTCCCCCCCCCCCCGTTTCCTCTCTCCATGTGCAGAAGGGCTCGGCCATGAAGGGTCTCCAGACCTCAGCAACTCCCACCCTGGCCCCCCACCCACCGGAACCACCCCCCAACCTAGTCAAGAAGGGCACCTCTGCCCTCTCGGCCCTTCTGGAGATGGAGGCCACGCACAAGTGAGTGAACAAGCGAGCAGTCATCCAGTTCTGAATATTGCTTTTCCTTCTGTCTGCCAATAAGAAATCAATATCCGTTTCCAATAAACATGACTAGTAAAAGAAAACCAATATCTACTTCTCCTTAAGAATTGCCAATAAAACAATAAATGCCCACCACTACCAATAAATATGCCCAATACAAAAATGGCCAATGCAAAATCAATATCCAATTCCAATACAAAATTAATATCTACTTCCAATACAAAAATGGCTAGTACAAACTCCATCTGTGTTCATATTTGGGCGTATTGAGTGCTTGTGCCAAGTTTAGTCCAGATCCATCATTGTTTGAGTCCACAGCGCTCTCTGGATGTAGGTGAACTACAACTCTCAAATTCAAGGTCAATGCCCACCAAACCCTTCCAATATTTTCTGTTGGTCAGGGGAGTCCTGTGTGCCAAGTTTGGTTCAATTCCATCGTTGGTGGAGTTCAGAATGCTCTTTGATTATAGGTGAATTATAACTCCCAGCAACTACAACTCCCAAATAACAAAATAATTTTTTGAGTGATGGTCACTCCTTGTGTTGTGAGACGTTTTGTTGCCAAATTTGGTGTGATTTCGTTCATTGGTTCTTTTGTTTTTTAGGTACTCATTATGCACAGAGCATGCATATATATATATATATATACACACACACACACACACACACACACACACACACACACTGATTTTTTATTGGAAGTAGATCCTGATTTTGTATTGGCAATTTTTGTATTGGAAATAGATAATGTTTTTTATTGGAAGTGGTTATGGAATGCTTTTGCAGTATTCAAAAAGACAACCTTTGTTCCTGCACTCATTTGTAATTTTACTATCAGTTTCACTTTTAACTTTACTTTGAGTTTCACTTTTACAGCATTTTTTTACATTTGTTTTCCCTTTTCTTTGTATTACAGGAGAATGTATTATTTGTTGTTGTTTTTTTTCAGGACATTGACCGAACAACAAATGGCTCCCATTTCCACCAAAAACTCCAGCGCCCAGCCCTCTGATGGCAACAGCACGGCCACAAATTCGAATTACGTGGACAGCCCACGTAAAGTAAGAAAAGAAATTGAAAATAGAATTGAAAAATAAATAAATAAATTGCAATGGAATAATTAATAAATAAATAAAAATGGCACAATTCAATAAAGTAATAAAATAGAAATAAATTAATAATACATAAAAGTAAATAACTAAAATATTAAAAATAAATGTTAAATGAATAAAGCATATTTAAAACAATCAATAAAATATATGAAATTATAAAAAGTCACAATAAAATAAATAAATATTAAATAAGTAAAAAATATATAAAAATAAATAAATTAAATAATACATACATAAAAATAAATAAATAAAAATTAAAATGATATGTAAAAATAAAGTTAAATAACTAAAATAAGACCGGAATATAAAATAAATGAATAATAATTAAAATAATATGTAAAAATAATAAATGAGTAAATGCAGTAATACATTAAAATAAATAAATAAATAAATAATGTGTAAAAAAATAAATAATCAAAATTACATAAAAATAAATAAATAATTAAAATCTATAAACATAATAAAAGAGAAAATATGTGTGTATGTGGCTGGGATCCCCACTTCCACAGACAGGCTCCCACTTCCACAAATAGCTATAGCTCCCACTACTCAGGGGACACCAATGGCCCTCCCTCCAATGACATTGCAGGTTATAGAGAGTGCCATGAACATGTCCAAGAGCCCTGCCAATGTCCTCCTCCAACATAATATTGCCCACCACCCAAGTGAAGCCTTTCATACGGGGACAATTCCATCCTAGATTTTATGTGTTTCATCTACCACAGACATCCCAGTGTTTCTTTCTCCATTGGTGTGGAATTTGCATGATCCCGTCTACTGCCTCTCCCTTAAATCTTTCCTACTGTTGTCAACTCTGTCTGCACAACAAACAGAGCAGAACTAATCAGCAACTAAACATACTGGAGGAGTTTGTGGGATTGACTCCACATGATGGAAGTTGTAGTTCACCCTGCATCAAGTCAGAGCACTGTGGCCCCTACTGACAATGGACCTAGACCACATTTGGCACATACAATCCCCTTAAAAAATGATTTCTTCAAATAACCTGGGCAACGCTGGGTACCTAAGCTAGTAATATATAAAAATAAATGAAAGAAAGAAACTAAAATGAAATTAATAATTAAAATAATCTATAAAATAAAAAACACAAAGGTAAAATAAATAACTAATTAAAATAATCCATAGAAATAAAAATGAATAAATGTACGAATACAGAAAACTAAAATAAATAATAAATAAATAAATAAATAATAAAATAATATATTCTAGTAATATAATAAATGAAATAAAAACAAAACAGACCTTTATTGATTTTTACTTGCATGTTATATATATATATATATATATCTACTTACACATATATATGTAAGGAAGATTGTCCCATTTCTGTGGCTGAGAGAGTATGACTATTACAGCAGATTTGAGCCTGGTAGTCCCATGGTTTTATAGGCAGCAATGGCCTTTTTTTTTTTTTGGAGGTATCGATTGACCAGTCAGCAGTCGGTTTGGAGTCTGAACGGAGCAGCGGCCAGTCGCTGACTGGGTCCCAAAGTGCTGACCAGATGCCTGGATGGACGGAAAATGGGTGAGTAATGGGGGGGGGGCAACCCCCGACGTCTTTGGCACAAAGCCGTATTGAACACCCTGAACCCTCTCTTCACAGTACCCAGCCCTTGACTGCCGGCCCCTTGACCTCATCGTCCACCTTGACGGAGATCCTGGAAGCCATGAAGCACCCAACGTAAGAGAGGGAGAGGCAGAGGTAGGGGTGGTTCCCCTGCCATCGCATCGGGCTGGGATGCCCACTTCCTGTCTTCTCCGCAGGTCAGGGGTACCACTCCTCACTGAACAGAAAGGCCTTTCCCCGTCCTGCTTCATCAGTGCGGAGGCTGTCCATTGGCTAGTCAACATGGTGGAAGGGGTCCAGACACAGGCCATGGCCATCGACATCATGCAGGTGAGCAGCAGAAAGACGAAGGGGAGGGCTACTTCTGCCCTTCTCCAGCTCTACTTCCTCCCTCCTCCACCTTCGAGAACAAGGACTGCTATCTCCAGCTCAGAGAAGACCTATGTTCTCCCTTCTCCGGTTCGTCCCTCCGATCCCCTGTCTGTATACAGTACGTTGCCTTCTCATCCAGTGTTTTAAACTTTTAATCCTTGCTATCGGCCCTACCCACTTATTTATTTTCTTGTGTTTAAATTATTGTGATTTTATATTGTTGATGTTTATTTATATTGTTTCTTGTATTTTATTTTTATTTTCATATTTTACTGTCGTTGTATGCTGTTTATTTGCATTATTGTATTGTTGGGCTTGGCCTCATGTAAGCTGCCCCGAGTCCCCCTGGGGAGATGGTGGCAGGGTATAAATAAAGATTATTATTATTATTATTATTATTATTATTATTATTATTAGGTGATCTGCTTCCTCCCTCCTCCAGTTCTAAAAGGCCTACTTCCCCCCTTTTCCATCTCTGAGGCTTCTAGCTCTAAAAAGAAGGATCTATTTCCTCTTCTTTCCAGCTCCACTTCCTCCCTCCTTCAGCTCCAAGATCAAGGCCCACTTTCCCTTTTTTCCAGCTCTACTTTCTCCCTCCTCCAGCTCTAAACAGGCACTACTTCCTCTCTCCTCCTGCTCAACTGTCACTTTCCCAAGAACTGTCCTCTAGAGGTCTGTCCATCCTATGACCTCAGGGTCATGACCCCCCGGAGCCCATTTCCTCTCCCGCTCCATCTTGTTAATTATCCTCCATTTTTCCGATCCAGAAAATGCTGGATGAGCAGCTGATCCTGCACGCCTCGGGGGAGGCCCTCCGCACCTTCGTCTATGGCTTCTACTTCTACAAGGCCCTGGAGAACAAGGAGCAGGAGCATCGCAGTGAGTCCCACCATTGGGCCCCTTTTTCTTCCTCCACAATGGCCACACAAGGGGTCCTAATGTGCCTGCCTTTCCCTCCTTCCTCCCTCCCAGCGGGGCTGCCTCCGCCCCCATCGCTGTGGCCCTCAGCTGCCCGGGACGACGCCTCAGCCTTCCAGCGCAAGTGGTTCGAGGTGGCTGTGGTGGCCGAGGAGCAGCCTAGCCTCCGCTCCGAGGTCCCGGCCTTCCTCCTGCCCTGGCTGCCCAGCCGCCCCGCCTCCTATGCCAGCCGGCACAGCTCCTTCAGCCGCAGTTTTGGTGGCCGCAGCCAGGCTGCCGCCCTTCTCGGTAACCGGGGAGGGTGGGTAGGAGGTCTCTTGGAGGGGAGGGGTCGGTCAATGCGTCTCTTGAGACCAGTCCGCGGGCACCACCTTCTCATTCCTTGCTTCACTTCTCCCCTCGATTTCCTTATTTCGTTCCTTGTTTATTCTTGTTTTCCTCATTTCCTCCCTGAATCCTCCTCATTTTCCTCGGTTTCCCCCCTCATTTTCCTACTTGTTTTTTCTCTCATTTCCTCCCTTGTTTTCTCTCATTTTTCCTCTTGTTTTTTTTTCTCATTTCTCCCCTCATTTTGTTGCTAAATTTTTCTCGGTTCGCCGTTTGCCCTCATTTGCCCCATTTATCTCATTTTCTTCTCTCGTTTTCCCTCTTTTTTCTCAATTTTCCCTCTTGTTTTTCTCATTTCTCTCTTCTTTTTCCCCTCTAATCCCCCCTTTTTTTTTCTTACTCATTTTTTCATTTCCCCATTTTTTTTCTCATTTCCTCCCTCGGTTTCCCCTTCATTTCCCCCTTGTTTTTTTTTTTGTTTTCTTCCTTCATGATCCCACATTTTCCCTGTTTTCCCCCTCATTTTCCTCGTTGTTTTTCTCATTTTCCCTTTTTTTCCTTCATTTTCCCCTCATTTCCCCCGATTTCTTCTTGTTTTTCACATTTTCCCTCTTGTTTTCCCCCTCATTTTTCTGAGTTTTCCCTTCATTCCCCCTACCCTCAATTTCATTCTTGTTCTTCCCCTCATTTCCCCCCTCCCCTGGCAGCGGCCACAGTCCCAGAGCAGAGGACAGTGACCCTGGAGGTGGACGTGAACCACCGGACACAGCGCCTGGAATGGTGCAGCTGCTACTACCATGGCAACTTCTCCCTTGGCGCTGCCTTCGAGGTCAAACTTCACTGGATGGCCGTCACTGCTGCCGTCCTCTTCGAGATGGTCAGTGGGGGAGATCCTTGAGTCATGGGGGAGGGGGAGAGGTCAACATGCATACCTTTCTTTCTTCCCTCGAGCCTGGTTCCCTCTCACCCTCAGGTCCAGGGCTGGCACCGGAAGGCCACTTCCTGTGGCTTCTTGCTGGTCCCGGTCCTAGAGGGGCCCTTCGCTCTGCCCAGCTTCCTGTACGGAGACCCCCTCCGGGCCCAGCTCTTCATCCCTCTCCACATCCACTGCCTACAGAAGGAAGGCACCCAGGAGCACCTCTTTGATGGTAAGGTCAGCGCTCCATGGAAAGGAGGGGAGGGACTTCCTGCCTAGGAGGGCCAAGGAGATGTGCTGAAGGATCTAGGGAATGCCTAGAGAGGACACATTGTGTTGTGAAGAAAAATGTGGTTAATACTGAATAATGACGAATGAGCCATGATCCTGTGATATGGATGGATGACGACGAATAATGATTTTTGATGACGACTGACCACTGTAATTATATGATTGTATTTTGCTATTTTAATGTTTTAGTGTGATTTAGAATATGATCTTTTAATGACTGTCTGTAATATTGATGTTGGAAACCGACCTGAGTCCCTCGAACGGAGGTGAGAAGGCCAGTATACAAAACTGCCAAATAAATAAATAAATAAATAATGAAAATGTGGGTCATACTGAAATAATAATAATAACAACAATAACCCTTCCACCAGGATTTGAGCCGGAGACCTACTGGGACAGAATGCAGTTGCTGCAGGAAGTGATTGCCCACCGGTTCGGCTTCATCCGGGACAAATACTCGGCGTCTGCCTTCAACTTCCCCTCCGACAACAAGCCCCAGTACATCCATGTCACAGGTTAGTGACCCCTGACCCCCCCCCCTTCCCTGTGACCTCTCACTTTTGGGGATATGAATGGACGGATCACAACCTGTTAGGATTGCAACCCATCAAGGGTAGCAGAGTTTGAGAGGGGTATTCCTTGCGTTTATTTGATTTTTTTGGCAGCCAAAGATTCAAGGAGACTTCTTTTAGAATACCAATGTTTGTTTACTTATAACTTCTAAACTTTGATGATACAGGCACATTTCGTTTGAGGGTTGAAATACGTCAAAAACGTTTGGAGAGTTTGTATCTTAACACTTCAAAACGTTAATTGTTTCTTCCCAAACTGTGCTGCTCCACATAGCTCTCCTCAAGAAGCGTTCACTTTCAGAGAAAACACAAGCCTCAACCATTTCTGACATTAGCTTCTACACACTCGCAGGCTCCAGCTCAAGAGGCATTCTCTAATAGGGCTCAAAGCTCAACTGACGTTCTCTAACGGTCATTCCTTTTTAAAACGGAACATTCTAAACCGTCACATGATCACAGCCCCTCCCACTGCTTCAGTACAAAGAGACCAGGTAACTGCAAACTACAAACAAGACATACACTTCAGATTACAAAATGTCACACTAATAAAACACTATTACACAATAGGCAAACATTTCATAGAGGAGGCTTGAGATCTTGCTTCCTTCAACACTCACAATAGCCGTCACCATTATTTAACATCTAATATCCCTATTATTATTTCTCATTTATTCCTCTCTATTATTCCTTATTTATTTCTGTCTATTTTTATTCCTGATTTGTCTCTTGATATTATTATTCCTTATTAAACTCTTTATTTATTATCATTATTATCTCTTGATATTATTACTATTTCTTAAGTTAGTAGGAATATATCCTTATACAGTAAGAGTCTCGCTTATCCAACATAAACGGGTCGGCGGAACGTTGGATAAGCAAAAATGTTGGATAATAAAGGAGGGATTAAGGAAAAGCCTGTTAAACATCGAAGTATGTTATGATTTTACAAATTAAGCACCAAAACATCATGTTTTACAACAAATTGACAGAAAAAGCAGTTCAATACACAGCAATGTTATGTAGTAATTACTGCATTTACAAATTTAGCACCAAAACATCACAATGTATTGAAATAGCTGTGGATCCTGGTGGGAGGCATACTGTGTTGGGTAATACGGAACGTTGGATGAGCGAAGGTTGGATAAGCGAGGCTCTACTGTACTATTATTATTATTTCTTATATTATTATTATTTCTCTCTCGATATTGTTATTATTATTTCTCAGTCTCTCAATATTGTGAGATATTATTTAACGGGATTTCAACGTCAAGTAAATGGTTCAATATATCTCGATATTATGAATTATCTCTCGATATTATTATTGATCTCTCGATATTGTGAGATACTGTTTAATGGGATTTGACACCACATACATTGTTCAACTGTGGTGGTCCTTCTTTTTCGTAGGGACGGTCTTCTTGCAGCTGCCGTACTCCAAGCGCCGCTCTTCGGGGTCACAGCCGCTTCCTCCTCCTGCAGCCGCCCCTCCCCCAGCCCAGCGCAGGAGGCGGGACTCAGCCCCCTCGCCCTCGGCCAATGGGGAGGGGCAGGGGGTGGGCTTCCACTGGGCCCACAACTCCATGCTGACCAAGACCTGGCGCTCCTCTGCCACGGGCGATGAGCGCTTCCCTGACCGGCTCCTCCGGGACTTCACCCACTTCTGCGCCAACGGGGAGGGACGCCTAGCTGCCTTCTGGGCTGCCTGCCTTGCCCGCACCCACGCCGCCGCCCCTTGACCAAGCCCCCACATCCATCCAGGCCCTCTCCTGCCCTCTTGAAACAATCCGCAGGCACCTGCCTCTCAGTTTACCTCCAGTAACACAGAATAAGCCATTCCTTCTCTTTCTGGGCAATCCTGAGGTACATTCTCCCTTTTTTGCCCCAGAATGACACATAGTAAGCCCTTTCAATTCCATTTCTTGCCAATCTTGAGGCAAATTTAAGCCAGTTCTCTTTTTTACCTCATAATGACACAGAATAACCCTTTCCCTTCCCTTTCTGGCAATCCTGAGGAAATTTGCTCTCATTTTACCTCAAGATACAGAATAAGCCCTTTCCTTCCCTTTCTAGCCAATCTTGAGGCATCTCCCTCTCGTTTTACCTCAGAGTGACACAGAATAATGCCTTCCCTTCCCTTTCTGGCTAGTTCTGAGGTACATTCCTCATTTTTTTTTATCTCGGAATGACACAGAATAACCCTTTCCCTTCCCTTTCTGGCCAATCCTGAGGTACATTCCTCATTTTTTACCTCAGAAAGAATAAACCCTTTCCATTCCATTTCTGGTCAATCCTGAGGTAAATTCTCCCTTTTTTGCCTCAGAATGACACAGAGTAGCCCTTTCCCTTCCATTTCTGGCCAATCTGAGGCAAATTCCTCATTTCTTTGCCTCAGAATGACAGAAATAGACAATACAACCCCTTTCCCTTCAATTTCTGCTCAATCCATTCTGCATGCATTCCCCCCATTGAGCATTTTCCTGTCTTTTTTTTCTCTCATTCTGAGGTAAACTATTGGGAATTGAGGAAAATTTATCTCGGGATTCAAAAGAAATTAATCTCAGGATTCTCCTCCCCCCCCCCCCTTTTTTTCCCCTGTCATTTTAAGGGGGGGGGGGAATTGAGGGAAGTTTACCTCAAGAGAAGAAGGGAGAGATGTAGGATATGTAAGATAATATAAATATATACACATGTAAATATGTACGGTATTAAAACACTGGCAATAAAATTAACAAAATACCACACAATTGCTTGTTGTCGTTTTTGGCTACAAATAACTTGGTCCTCGCCTCGTATTTCCTCCTGAGAAAACATGGAGGTGAATTATCCCCAGAAAACTGAGAAATTATTTTATTTCACATTTTATTTAGTGTTTTACTATATATTTAATTTTGTGTTTTTTTATAGACTAGCTTGGGTACCCGGTGATTAATTGAAATCACAGTCATTCCTGAGAGCTCAAAAGGCCCTACTCCCCAAATTGAGGTATATCCATATAAACAAAGGCCTTGTTCACATTAAAATGTTGACTAATCATTGCCAAAAGCCTGCTTTAACAGCCTTAGAAAATGCATAAGGAGATGGGTGAACTGCAGCTCCCAAAAATCTCGGGTCAATCCTTCCCAAAACCTGCCAGTATGCAAAGTTGGCTGTGTTTGGTCTGTGTAGCAAAGGTGGTCCAGATCTGCAATTGCTGGGGTTCAGAATGCTTTCTAAATGCAGGGTGAACTACAACTCCAACCGGGGTGGGTTAGTCCCCCAAACCTCTCCAGTATGTTCTGTTGGTCTTAGGGGTTCTGTGTGCCAAGTTTGGTCCAGGTCCATCATTGGTGGGGTTCAGAGGGCTCTCTAAACCCAGTGAACTACAACTACCACCTGGGTGGGTCAGTCCCCCCCCCCCCAACCTCTCCAGTATGTTCAGCTGGTCATGGGGCTTCTCTGTGCCAAGTTAGGTCCCCGTCAATGGGGGTCACAATATTTCTGGATTCAGGTGAACTACAACTCACGAAAATCAAGGTCAACACCCCCCTCCAAAAAAAACAACCCTGCAGTATGTTCAGTTCATGGGGGTTCTCTGTGCCAAGTTCGGTCCACATCTGTCATTGGTGGAGTTCAAAGGGCCCGTGGAATACAAGTGAACTATAACTCCCAGAGTTCATGGTCAACCAACCCCAAAGTCCACCATCATTCACAGTCAACCATGTTGGGTCTGTGTGGCAAGTTTGGTCCAGATCCATCATTGGTGGGGTTCAGAGGACCCATGGAATAAAGGTGAACTATAATTTCCAGAGTTTGCTAATCACTTCCAAAGTCCACCAGCATTCACAGTTGGCCATGTTGGGTGGTAAGTTTGGTGCAGATCCGGCATCTGCTGAGTTCGGTGTTCTCTGAATACACGTGAACTATAACTCCTGGGTGCCAAGGTCAATCCTGTCATGCGCTAGCATGAGAAGCATGCGGATTGACTCTAGCCCAGTTAACAATGTGTGATGAATTGGCTCATAAAAGAAAAAATACATGAGACGTTGACTTCAAGTAGAAAAGAAAATATTGTTGTATTGGCAGCATACAAAATAAAGTAGCAGGATTACTGTTTCCACAAAAGTAACATAAAACAATATCTTCTGAGAGATATCACCACTCAGCTGAGATAAGCAGGAATCCTTGTCCTCTTCTCAAGGCTGTGTCTTCACAGGACATCTGCAGCATAGTCCCCGACAGAACGGCACAGAGGCAAACACGCACAATGGCAAACACGCACAATGGCATTAAGGCACAATGGCAAAAACTAAACACACAGTAGCTATCTTTATACACATGAAAATAATACTCTCAATTAACTCTTCAATTAACTGAAACAGCTGTAGCACAAACAGCCTTGAACCTTACAGTAAGTTAAAGGTATAGCACAAACAACATTGATCCTTACAACAACTTAGATAAAGTACGTTGCAACCTCTTAGTAGCAACAAATCCTGCCCCCAGCAGCTCCAGTATGTGCTGTTGGTCGTTTGGGGAGGGGGGGGGCGGTCAGTGTGCCAAGTTTGGTCCAGATCCATCATTGGTGGGGTTCACAGTGCTCTTTGGATGCAGGGTGAACTACAGCTCCCACGCAGGTAGGTCAGTCCCTCCATTCACTTTATTATATATGAGATAAATACAGATTTTATTTTATTTCGCATTTTACTTAGTGTTTTATTATACATTTCATTTTGTATTTTATTATATATTCTATTTTATATTATCTTTTATATATATCAGGAGATCTGTATTTGTAATGCACAATAGTATGTCGTGGAAACCTGGGGAATAATGTCCATACTTAAATAAGCTAAATAATCATTAATTAAATTATAAAAAAATAATAATTGATATAGATGGATAGAATAATAGATTTTATTTTTAAAAAAACACACATAACTTCTCAGGTTGAACTTTGCTATCAAGACCTAAATCAGTACAATAATAATAATAATAAATGTGTGGACTCTGAGCCACTAATTATTATTATTATTATACCTTTAATTAATTTTTAAACGGTAAGAAGCTCATTATTCTTATCTCAAGGTTTTTCTCAGGAAAGTCACTCTGTTTCCTCATGCATTTCAGCTGTTTCCTTAAAGGAAGTTCTTGAGTATTTTATTCATTCAATAAAATTGAACACTAACCCAGGTGTCAACATCGACATTTTTTTCGCCCCAGAAGAAACCAAATGGGAGGCAAATCCCACCAAACTGGTTTGAATGGTTTCACCTCACATGAAGGAGGGATAATAGAACAAAAGCAACACTCACAACCCTCTTCCTTCTCTTTGTTTAAGTTTCGTTATAATTATGATTAGTATTATTCCTTCTCAATTTTCTATTATTATTCCTTCAATTATTATTATTCCTCTATATATTATTATTCTATTATTATTATTTTATTATTATTATTTCTCCATTATTATTCTCTATTTTCTATTATTATTTCTCCATTGATTATTGTTCCTCAATTTTAGTTTAGTTAATTAGTAACATTATTTATTAGAAAAAAGCCAGTCTTTGATTTTGTTTTTTATGAATGTTCCCATTAGAAAATACATAACGATATGGGTGAACTACAATTCCCAGAATCGTGGGTCAATCCTCCCCAAACCAGGCCTGTATGTGCAGCTGGCCATGTTGGGTCTTTGTGCCAAGTTTGGTCCAGATCCGAGGTTGGCTGAGTTCAGTGCTCTCTGGATAAGTGTGAACTACAACTCCCAAAAAGAAGGCAAACTCCCACAAAGCCCTGCCGTATGTTCTGTTGGTCATGGGGCTTCTCTGTGCCAAGTTTGGTCCCGGTCCATTGTCGGTGGGGATCACAGTTTCTCTGGATGCAGGTGAACTACAACTCCCAGATTCCCAGGGCAATCACCCTCAAACTCTGCCTGTATTTGCAGTTGGGCATGTTGGATCTGTATGCCAAGTTTGGTCAAGATCAGTTATTGATGGGGTTCAGAGTGTTCTGGATGAATGGTGAACTACAACTCCCATGCGGGTGGATCATTCCCTCCCCAACCACTCCAGTATGTTCTGTTGGTTATCAGGGTTCTGTGTGCCACGTGTGTTCCAGATCCGCCATTGGGTGCAGGGTGAACTACAACTCCCATGTGGATTGGTTAGTCCTCCCCTAAATTTCCAGTATGTTAAGTTGGTCACCGGGGTTCTGTGTACCATGTTTGTTCCAGATTCATCATTGGTGGGGTTCAGAGTGCTCTGTATGCAGACTGAACTCCCGCGCGGGTGGGTCAGTTCCCCAAACCCCTCCAGTATGCTCTGCTGGTCATGGGTGTTTTGTGTCCCAAGTTTGGTCCAGGTCCGCCATTCCTGGGGATCGCAGTGGTTTGTGGAAGTCGGTGAAGGTACTGCAAATCCCATCGACTGTGGTCCATCCTACCCCAACCCTCACCAGGACATAAAGTGCGTCATATGGAGTCTGTGTGCCAAATTTGGCCCAGGTGCATCATTCGTTTGAGTTGCAGTGGTTTCTGGAAGTGAGTGAAGGTACTGCAATTCCCATCATCCCTGGTCCATCCTCTCCCAAAACTCACCAGGATGTAAATTACATCATGGAGAGTGTGTGTGGCAAGTTTGGTCCAGGTCCGTCATTCGTGGGGGCCGAAGTGGTCTCTGGAAGTGAGTGAAGGTACAGCAAGTCCCATCATCCGTGGCAAGTGTGGTCCAGATCCATTGTTGGTTCGGTTCACAGTGCTCTCTGGATGTAGGTAAACTACAATTCCTATGAATCATGGTGAATTCTTCCCAAACCTCTTGTTCAGTTGCTGATCAATTCCTGTTTTGCTGTGTGCCTTAGGAAAGGGTAAAGGGAGAGAGGCAGTGGGCGTGGCATGCAAATTACACACCAATGGAGAGAGAAAGGAACCCTAGGATGTCCATTCTGGAGGAAAAACAGAACATCTAGGATGAAATTGTTCTCATATGAAAGTCTTCACTTGGGTGGCGGGCAGTATGGTGTTGGTGGAGGACATTGGCAAGGCTCTTGGACTATAATCTGCAATGTCAGTCGTATCCTGAGTAGTGGGAGCTATAGCTGTTTGTGAAAGTAGGAGCCTGTCTGTATAAGTGGACACCTCCGTCACATACACACATACACATTTTCACTTTGATTGTGTGTATAGATTATTATTATTGTTGTTGTTGTTGTTATCCTTTCTCTATTTTCTATTAGTATTCTCCATTTTCTATTGCTCCTGTTATATTTATTCTTATATTTCTTACTAGCTGTCCCCTGCCATGCATTGCTGTGGCCCAGTCTGTGTATATGTGTTATGTGTGTGTATATATTTGTGTATATGTGTGTTTGCGTATATATATGTGGTTTCGCGCATGCGTTGTGTCAATTTGTCCAGTGGTTTTTGAGTTATGTTAATCCCACAAATGAACATTACATTTTTATTTCTATAGCTTTATTATTATTATTATTATTATTATTATTATTATTATTATTCCATCCCTATTTTCTGTTATTATTATTATATTTATGTTGTTATTCTTTCTCCTTTTCATCTTCTTATTATACTTCCTTTTTTTATTATTATCATATTTATCATATTAGGGCCCCCCTGGTGGCGCAGCGGGTTAAACTGCTGAGCTGCTGAACTTCCTGGCTGAAACATCAGCAGTTCGAATCTGGGGAGTAGGGTGAGCTCCTGCTGTTAGGCCCAGCTTCTGCCAACCTAGCAGTTCAAAAATATAGGTCTATA